AACAAAGGCTGGGATGCTTACAGTTCCAGTCCCCTATCTTATATGCCAGCACAAAGACCTGAATAATTCTGGCTGTCTGTCTCAGGTGATGTATGTTGGAGTTTCTCAAAATTTTTAAGTATTTAAAGTGCTAGTTTTGTTCATTTTTCATTTCAGTGGAAATGAAGTGGTTGGAGGATATTCACACTGAAACCACCCACTGGAATTTTTACAATGTACTTTAAAGGAATAATGGTATTGTTGAGAAGTCATTACCACGGCTATTTATTTTTCCATTCCATTATGTCAAAACTTTTTTCAGTAGCCCAGATCACATTTTTGACAGCACAGCCAAATTTACCACTGATGCTTGATCCTGCTGTTGCTCTAAGGGCTCTTTTATTTTTTTTTAACAGGATTCACTCATCATCTCGGTTGTCTTCTTAGCAAGTCACTGTTGTGATGCTTCATTTTAAGGCCACAAAACCACCCATGCCCTTGACATGACCCAGACATCCATTTCCTGTACGAAAAGGATTTTAATTTTATGCCAGCAATAAAAATTGATCTCTGGAAAATTTATAATTTGAGACCCCATAATAATCAGGCTCATTATTTTCCAGTGCCAGCATTCTGCAGGTGTTCTGACAGATGGCGCAGAAGCAAAACATTACTTCTTTTCTGAAACAAGAGGCTCCTCTCAGCCTCTGGCCCCCTGCTCCCCTCTGTTCCAAGAGTCATGGGTCATTAGGGTTGTGTAGCTATAGAGATGGAAGCTCTGCTCTATGTCACACCTCACTTTTTGATTTGGTCCATTTGGTGCTGCTGCAGACACATTGCTAATGGGAAAAATAAAGATGGCCTGAGGACAGACACTACCAGTAACTGAAAATTTCTTCACATTTGGATAAGCAGATATGAAATCTAAAGTTTTAGAGCAAGGTGGAGCCAACTGATGGGTGCTGCCCAGATCTGACTTCAGGGAATTAAGACGTGCTCTTTTTTTTGAGGCTGAAATTTTTATCATCTGATAAAACTTGTAGAATCACTAGTTATGAAATCTTCAATACTTTTCCAGGTACTTGGATTCAAAATAAATGTTGGACAGTTCTTACGAACAGTTGTTTCTACAATTAAAATAGTTTTCTTAAGAGAATTAGCTTGCAACTACTTATTTATAAGCTAGATACATAAATGGCAACTTCTTACACATAGTGTACAAATGCCCTAAAGTACCAGCATCAAGCAAACAAAACTGATTCAAATAAATGAGGGGAAGGCTTGTATTTTTAATACACACAACTCATTCCTGAAGGCTTGATCAAATAAACAGTGACAGAGATAAGGGACAGACATAACTGAAATGGGAAGAAGATTGTGATGCTCTGGCTTTCAGTATGATTTAAAAGATATAGGTATTCAGAGACTGTTAAGTCACTGTTTCGGCCCCTTTCTGACATAGTTATTGTTGCAGATGCACTTTCAAATTTCCATGTAAAATGTTCCCTGGGTCTGCTGGATGTCTGATGGAAAAGATAGGAGGCCAAACTCCCTTGAAATTCACGGCATAGGGGTTCCAAAGGTTTTCAGACTAACACAACATCAACATTTCTTGCTGCTAGTATCACCATATGTCAGGGATGAAATGTTTAATTTAAAATAGCATGTAGAGTAGCTCTGTAGACTTCTCAAGGCCATGGAGACCTCAGATGGAAACCACCTGCCTATCTCTTGTCAACTGTGCTGTGATTTTCCTAGGAATGTACATTAAAGATGAGAAAAGATGAAAATATTTAAAATTTAGTCTCTCCAGCCATAATACAAGTAGATGTAGTTGGCTTGTAGCTGGCAAACATAGTTGCTAAGCCGCTCTCCCTGTTTCAAGTGTCATGGTGGTCAGGCAGTCAGGCCCCCAGTGACTGGAAAAGGGAAACATCACACCCATTTTTAAAAAAGGGTAAAAAGGAGGATCCTGGGAACTACAGACCAGTCAGCCTCACCTCCGTGCCCAGTAAGATCATGGAACAGATCCTCCTGGAAGCTATGTCAAAGCATGTGGATGGCAGGGAGGTGATTAGAGACAGCCAGCATGGCTTCAGAAAGGACAAATTGTGCCTGACTATCTGGAGGCCTTCTGTGATTGAGCGACTGCGTTGGTGGGTAAGGGGATGACTGATGTCATCTACCTTGACTTCTGTAAGGCCTTTGGCACAGTCCCACACAACATCCTTGTCTCTAAATTAGACAGGGGTTTGATAGATGGACTATTTGATGGATAAGGAATTGGCTGGATGGCTGCATCCAGAGTTGCAGTCAACGGCTCAGTGTCCAAATGGACATCAGTAACAAGTGGTGTCCCTCAGGGGTCTGTATTAAGACTGGTACCGTTCAATCTTTATTGATGACAGCCAGTGGGACTGAGTGCACCCTCAGCAAGTTTGTGGGCAACACCAAGCTGAGTGGTGCAGCTGATTCACTAGAGGGAAGGGATGCCATCCAGAGGGACCCTGACAGGCTTGAGGAGTGGGCCTATGCGAACCTCATGAGGTTCCACAAAGCCAAGTGCAAGGTCCTGCACCTGGGTCGGGGCAATCCTCAATATCAGTACAGGCTGGGGGATGAATGGATTGAGAGCAGCCCTGCAGAGAAGGACTGGGGATACTGGTGGATGCAAAATTGGACATGAGCTGGCAATGTGTGCTTGCAGCCCAGAAAGCCAACCGTGTGCTGGCTGCATGAAAAACAGCCTGGCCGGCAGGTCGAGGGAGGCGATTCTTTCCTTCTGTTCTCGTGAGACCCCACCTGGAGTACTGCATTCAGCTCTGGGGCCATCAGCACAAGAAAGACATGGACCTGCTTGAGTAGGTCCAGAGAAGGGCCATGAAAACAGTAACAGGGCTGGAACACCTCTCTTGTGAGGAAAGGCTGAGAGAGTTGGGGTTGTTCAGCCTAAAGAAGAGAAGACTTCAGGGAGATCTTATTGTGGCCTTCCCAATACTTAGAGGGGGCTTATAAGGGAGGGAGACTTTTTACCAGGGACAATGGTTTTAAACTAAAAGAGGGTAGATTTAGATTAGATACAAGGAAGAAATTCTTTAGTATGAGGGTGCTGAGACACTGGAACAGGTTGCCCAGAGACATCGTGTATGTCTCATCATTTGAAGAGTTCATGGTCAGGTTGGCTGGAGCTTTGAGCAACCTGATCTAGTGGAAGGTATCCCTGGCCATGGCAGGGGGTTGGAACTAGATGATCTTTAAAGGTCCCTTCCTGCACATTCCGATTCCATGATTGTATGCCCCTACAGGCTAATCCTTCTCTGGCCAGGAAGACCCAGGACTGAGATTTCCAAAACTACAGTCATTGCTAGAGGAGTGTGGGGAAAGCAAGCCACTCCTTCATCAATTCACCTAGCGTGAAAACTGCACTGTCACCAAGTCTATGGAGATTGTTCTTCCTCTCCCCTGAGCATTCCTGGTGAACTGATCTGGCAAAGGAGTAACACAAAAATGAATCTATCATTTTTATGGAGAACTGCAGTGATGTTAATAAATCTTGTATTCAAAACAGCATTGCCAGAATGAGCACCTGAGGCCAAATAGCTCTCCAAATTTCCAGAGTAACAACAGAGATGGCATTTCAGAGGCTGACAATGTCCATAACACAGTAGGGCACTAAATTGTTTCTAGGCATAATAAGGATCAAGATACTGGACCTTAAAATATTCCCATCATCTTCCTTTACATCATGATTTTAGTAGCTAAAAATTAAAGAAATGACTGCATTATACCCTATGTAAACCAGAATGTTAGGCTTCCAAATGGTGTGAAGCACTCACTTCCAAATTCAGCTGTTCCTGAGACAACAGCCACTAAAACCATGTCACAAATGAAGTGAAAGAAAGGCTTGTAAGTGAAAAAGGTGATTTGCAAAGCTTGTGTTCATCCACAGTGTTAATTCTTCTTCCATTGCTGTTACTGCTCTCTTCAGTGTCTGGGAACAATGACCAGAAAGGAGTAATACCAGTAGCACAGAATAAATATCCACAGCTGCCCTCTCACTGAGACTTTCCCCTTTTTGCTTTTTTAAAACAAAAAGGCCACTCACTATGCAGAGATGTCTGGTGGTGCTGGAAGCAGAGTGCCAGCAAGGCTAGAGCACTGCTTTATGATACAGTGGAGTAGATATTCTAGCTTGAAGCTCTACGGGGTCATAGCTCAGCTGCAAGGAAATGCAACTGTATGAAAACAAATCACAGTTGGGGATGGGGAAAAAACACATCATGCTCTCATCACAATAAAAGCTATTTTGATCCACTTTCAAAACAATACATCAATCTCACCTGCAACTCTCATCACACAATGAACAGAACTAAATATATTGACCAAACCAGCCCATAATTCTCTCTCTCTCTCTCTGTTCAGCCCTTGCCAAAGCAACACCTCATCAGTCCTTTTCTATAGTGTCTGAAAGGATGTAGACTTTCTTTCACGATTTAGGGCCCCATCAGCTGGAGGCAGTCTGCATCTCTAAGAACAAGGCCTCCTCCCAGCATGGGGATGATACAGAAAAGGCTCTAAGCATAAGTATGGAGACAATTTTGATCCAAACAGAGAACTGAGGAGACAGAGAGAGCAAGAGGTATGCACACAGGCCTCTCTCTGCACATCAGACAGGGCAAGAGGCACAAAGGCAGCCTCGCTTGTAGTTCAGGGCTGCAGGGACAGTAAGGATGTGGCTGCCTTCCAGCACAAAATGGAGGGCACTGGAAAACAGGGTGCCAAAGAGAGCCCTGGCCTCATTTTCCTGGCAGACTCCCAGAGCCTCTGATATTGAGTGCTGTTCATGAGAGTCTGTCTCTTACAAAAGTGTCTGCTCCCACGATGAAACAAACAATTGAAACAGTCCATGGCTGATGGCTGCAACGGTTCACAGAGGCTTGTCTTGTTTGTTGCTCTGTATCTTTTCCACTGCAGTCACCTCATGGTGTCCAGCCCCTCAACATGACATGTCCACAACAACTTCAAACCACAAGGGACATCCTCGTTGGGAAATCGTTCTGAGAGGAAAGAGAGAAGATTAATGTCAACAGGAAAGCACCCATGGAATGGACACAGACAGACATAGCTTTGACAGAGACATGACCAAACAGCAACAGCTTTGTCCACTCACACCCCTTTCCTCTCTTACACATGCCACTTAAGCTCAGGCCTAACAGCCAAGCTGCTCTAGCAACAGGGTCTCCCTCTTGGAGCAGACTTCAGCCAGTCTCCTTCCCCAGCAACCATAAACTTATCAGTTCCTCACTAGCCTGGACTGTGGCAGGATGTTTTGCACTTGCTGGTATCCTGTTTGAGGAATGCCTTTGGCATGCATGGCCCCTACACATGCCCATGGGCATGCACCCACAGGAGTCTCATCTCATCCCTTTCGGAAAGACGAGGTCTCTTACACCATACCTTGCTACTAGCTCCGTCCCAGTTCGGAAGAACAGAGCCTCTCAACCCTTCCTTAACAAGGATCAAGGCCAAAGCAATGCCCTGTAATTTCTGTAAGCCCTGGGTAAGTTCCCTTCCCTACCATGATCCTCCTAAACCCTAGATAAACTCTCACTTCCTTGGATCACCAGGCAACAGATGCCAAACACATCCCTTACCTCCCCAGTCCCAGGCACATCTGGCTCTCCCTTCCACCATGAAGGAGCTGTGGAGGAGCTATTTCCCTTTCTGGCCTCCTGCACCCACAGTGACTGCCCTCTTCCCACAGCAACTCCCCTTTTCTGGGGTTCCCCACACTTGGACTCCAGGCTCTACCCTCCCGGAGATCCCCCTTGCCCATAAACTCTGGTTAGTAACCCCTGCCTGGTGGGTCCCCACTCAGCCTATTTGGATCAGGAGCACCAGACATGGCCTCACTGTTTTCTTGGGGTCCTTCTTCCTCTTCTTGTCAGAGGCGTTGAGGTAGGCCTGCTCCCTGGCCCTGTACGAAGGGCCTCGGCTCAGCTCCCTCTCGCTGTACGGCGGCAGGGTGTCCTCCCCTTCCTCCTGCTCAGGCGGTGGTGGCGGCTGCTGCGGCTGCTGCTGCGACTTCTCGGCTTTGTAGGTAGAGGGTGGTGACCAGGCATAGTATGTTCCCCCTCCTCTCTGGCTGGGCTGCGAGCTCAGCTTTGAGGGGGTTTCACTACGGTCACCGCTCTCGTCGTAGCTCCGGGATTTCCTCTCCAAGACACTGCTGAGGTAGGAGTGATCGTATTTCTGGCTCCCTCCGGGCGTCCGGCTCACCAGCCTGGGCAGGTGCTTCTCCTCATGGGCCCGTCTCCGGGGTGGGCTGTATGACCAGCCCCGATCCGAGTCCGTCAGCGGCTCTCGGTTCCCTCTGCTACGCTTGGTGTAGTATTCCTCCATGGAGCTATCCTGGTGGAGCAGCCCTCCGCCGCGGCCGCCGTGCGACTCTGACCGCTCAAAACGCCGAGTTTCCTGGCTGTCTGCCCGGCGGGTCCGCTGGCTGTAGGACTCTGCAAAGGCTGCCAGCTCATCCATAGAGACGGCCGGCACTCCCACAGAGAAGCTCTTACGAGACAACATCTCGGACTTGGATCTCTGCTGGCTGGAGGAGGGAAGAGGTAGTGTTAGAGGGCAGGATTCAGCTGCGCTCATCCCCTCAGTGGCCTTCACAGATAATGGAGGGAAACAGGTACTCCCGGGGCATGAATCATCTGACCTGTTTTCACCATCTTCTGTAGGAAGAGATGTATCACATCCTCGAAATCCCTGCTTCTTTCTGCTGACTGTAAAGGCAGCTTAATGAGGATAGCTCAGACTCTACACGTCTAATGTTACCCAAGATTAAACCCAGAGTGCACCTCCCTTGTCCTCCAGTATGTAGGGCTGAACTTGCTTCTCCTTGGCCCCAAAGCTTGTAGGTGTATATCCTGCTGGGAAAACCCAAGAACCTGGCTACAAAAGCTCACAGCAAGGCAATTTTGAAGCAGGTTTAAAGAGAGTGAGCTGGCACTATAGCCCACTACTGAGGGAAGGAAATCCCTGCCATTGCTTTTGGGAGACTGGGCTGCTGGTGTGTTACAGAAGGATGTGGTACCTCTCTTCTAGGCACCAGAATGCCAGTCCTTTAGGCCTGGAGTACAGGTCTTGCTGCACCAAAGCACCAGGGTGTGACTCCTGAGAAAGCACACCAGCACTGGGAAGTGCTGGAAGGATCAGGTACAAATCTCAAGATAACACTTCAGGAAGGGTGGCTTGGTTTCCTATTGATCTCGCTTTTACATCCCACCTCGAATGGGGCTGGTACCTAGCTTTGCCCAGCTGGGTAGGCTTCAGCAGGCTTGTGGGAATCAGATTCATTCCAACCTCATCTAATGACATCTCCAGATTTCATGTTTCTGTCTAACCCCTCTGTCCTGCTAAGCGGAACCACAGCAGCAGGCAATGGAGAAGAGCTACCAGTCCATCTGTCCCTTCTCCTTTCTTCACTACTTTGCCAGATATAGCTGCTTCCCAACACACCACTCCTCACCTGTGCCGGAAACTGTCCCGCTCATCTCTGTAATCGGAGACAGCCTGTGATCTTGATGTGCTTCCCCCGCTGATCACTCCTGCCCAGTATTCAGCATCACCATCCAGGTCCCCCGCAGGAGGCAGAGGTTTCCTTCGCACCTGGCGGTAGGGCTGTCGGAAGTTCAAGTCCTCTTCATGCAAAGAGCTGAGTTCAGAGATAGTGTTGTTATCTGCAGGGAAGGTTGCACAAAAGAAATGAGATAGGCATCACCTGATAGTATGTGTGAGAAAGGAGAAGAGGACAGGAAGGCTGTGGCAAGCCCAGCTGCAGCTTTTTCAGAAAGAAGTTGAGCTGCCCTCTATTAGAAAAAGATCAAAATGGAATCCAAGGCCCTTCTCCAAACCCTTGAACGATCCTGCCCAAGACTCCTGGAGCTCAGTTTGGACATAGAGCTGCTGTTAGACCTACATATAGGTCCTCTGAACTGGTAGCTGGCAGCCAGGTGGAATATTCTAAGGGTACTGGAAATGGCATCAGATGCCTGTGTTCCAGATAACCGAGTTCAGCCTTCATGCAGAAATCCCCGCCTCAGCCCTGCTTCAGTAACACGTGAGCTCTCCGCCCTTGTGAGGTGGGCACCGAGCTTGGTGGAACATCATCAAAGCAGTTGTGCGACCTCCCCTTTTCCTGGTGTGAGACAGTCTGGCTCTGGATTTTGGCCTGACTTGCCCAGCTAAAACAAAAACAACCCCCTCAAAAAAAAGATTAAGAAAAAAGTAAGAGATTATCTGAATCACTGTCAGTCTCTACCCTGTCAAGCACATTGACATCTGGAGGCCTGACATACCAATCTGGAGAGGTCTTTTTATAGTAAATCTTGTGGGTGGAGAAGACAGTGTGCTCAGCAATGACTGTTTTAGAAGTATATATAATTTGTTAGTTATGCCTAGTCTGTACAGAGCTTTGATGTAGTGTCATTCCCTAAAGCCCTTACCTTAACTGATTTGCAGGATCTCACACGTCTGTTTTAAATGAGCCTCTGCCAGTGCCTAATATGGGTTAGCTCTGCATGACTCGGATGCTGCCCAGAGGAACTGAGCCCCCAGCCCGCTGCTGTCCTCTGCACAGAACAGCTGGAGGACAAAGAGCAGCACTGCAAGCCCACACCTTGTCCCACCACTGCACCTCTGCCTCCTAATGTGGAAAGATCCTCATTTGGGTTTGTATTCTGACATCCATTAAGCGCAGCCTCAGCCTTTGCTTAGGGAAATAAAGCTTGCAAGAGGTTATCGGAAGACAACGAGGAGTTCCACACAGAAGCTCAGTTCTGAGTTTGCATCATGTTCCTATTCGCCACCCTCCTCCACTTCACCTGCAGTTTCTGACTGCCAAGCTGTCACTACTGATGCATGTGCCACCTCTGATCTTATGTTGACCAGTGCCACAAAATCTGATGATACCCCGATTTCTTGAATCCTTCTTGTAGTCCCTGCTCCTTCTGCAGGGCAACAGCCACTCCAAACTACCTTTCTGCACCCTTCAAGCCACACTGTGGTCATTGCAGCCCACAAAATATGCTTTCAATAAAATCATGCCTCTCCTATTTCGCCATGCTGGGAATTTACAGGCACCACACTACAAGACATAAAGAAATTGGGAAGACAATATCCAGACTATTATCACACCACAGGCTATAGAAGGCATGAGTATGGACTTGGCTTTTCAGATGTTGATGATCCAAAAGTTTAATTATCCGAGTGGACAATTTTCATGAGCATTTGAGCATCCCTCACCTTGTTTGCTCTAATTAAGGATGATTAGGTAAGCAGCAGATCTTTAAAATCAGAATGTACCTGTAGATGCCTAAAATCTAGACTTTATCTGCCCCAAGTTCCATATCCTGGACATCATATCCTAGAGGCCAGCTCCAAGGCAAAGCCAGTGAACTTTTAACTATGAATTTGCAGTCTTTTTCAGGTCAGTGAAAAAAAAAAAATCAAACCATGCTTGCTCCTCACATCGTTCTCGCATCCTCCTAGCTGGGTCAAACTGAGCCAGTTCTTTCTCAACGTAGTACAGCACCTTCATGGAGTCCCTCTCCTTGTCAGTCTGGATCCTGTACCCTTTGCGCACTGCTAGGGAGAAAAGAAAAGCACAAGAGGAAAACACATTTAAGTCCAAGGAGACTTTCTGACAATACTGCTTCTATAGTTAAGCTCATGTCTGCAGGCAGGTAGGCTGCGTCTCCCAAAACAGAGTGAGTCAGTCCTTGCTTCAGAAGAAATTCGTCTGTAACGTGGGATGTGAAGTTGTGAGCAGCTGCATCATGTATAAAGTTTGCAGTAACAGCAAAAATGGTTTGGAAATGCCCAATCTGTACAACCAAATGCATCAAGTGGTGTCATTGCCACAGAGTGATTCCACCTCCCACAGAGGATGGCAGAGAGAAAAGTAGCACTCATTTTCCCTTCCTCAGCACTACAGAAAGGATTCATCATGGTATGGGAGAAGCAGTCCCAGAAGATCAGGCTTCCTCTGCAGCAGGGGCCATAAGCTCCCAGTCTGCAGGGGAAGCAGGTGGCTGAGCATTTGGGAGCTGTCACTCTGCAGCACCACTCCACCCTTCCATCCCTACGAATTCTGCTCACACAGGTTGAAGAGCATGTGGTCGGAGAAGCTCCAGAGAATACAGAAGGAAACACAGAAAGTCCCACAAAGCATATCACACTGCTTTAAGACTTATACTGAATCCAGTGATGGGGCCAATCAGGTCACTGGGTAACTGTGAAACTGCCTGCTCTGGCATTCTTTACATGCTTTATTTTACAGAAAAGTTATGTCTTACACATAAAGTGCTTGATTCCTGGGATTACTCCATTTGCAGGGGAAGTCTGGACAGCTTTTTTGACTTTTCCATATTCCTGTACGTAGAAAAGAAGCCCCTACACACCTGGAGCCACAGCAACTCTAACTCGGACAGGCTGGCTCCATGCACACTTTACCTGCTAACCCTATGAATGGCCTGACTTCCTCAAGGCAGGTCTATAGTCAGCAAGCAGAGAACTCCACAGATCAGGACTTTGAAGAAAATAAGGCTTTTATAGCAGATTATTTAAGAAAGGCCTCAGCCTGGGGCTATTTCAAGATTAATAGAAACACAGGTCTAAGTACAAAAGAGTACTACAACCCTCAAATTCAGCCTCATTAGAGAACTGTCGTGAGGACAATTCACTTAGCACTACAAAATGGAACCTGTCTGCCTTGCATGGGGTTAGTATGTTCCCTTGGGTGAATACAGCAGTGTTGCACCAATGCTCCTCTTGTGGCACGATTTAAATACTTGGACGGTGGTTCTGAGCCAACCTGTTCTTTCTGTTTTATCCCACACCCCGATACATCAAGCTACTAACATATGGGTTTGGTAGTACATTGCATAGTATGCACTGTGTGGGCTGAACAAGGACTTGGCAGAGGTATTCTTAGGCACCTTCTGTCCTAAACTGCTGTGCATGTGTCTGTGCACTATTAAATAACCATGCTCTGCTTCAGAAACGGCGGTGCCATAGAAATGCGTAGAATGATTCCTGTAATAATCCCACAAATTGCTTCAGGAGGAAGGTGCTTTACTGTGTGTTTTGACTGTGCACATGTAAGGTAAGTAACTACATCCTGAAATATTACCTTGTGTATCTGTACTTTGGAAAGGTATTAGATGTTAAAACGTAGTATGGGTCTATCAGGGTTCTGCTTCCAACATGTCTCCAGATAGCTTAGCTACAGCAGTCTGGAGTTTTGCTGTGTTTTATTATCCCCACAAATAAGTGCACCACAACTGCAAATGCACACAGTGATTTACAGAATACAAGGAACCTTGCCTCTGCCTTCCGAAGTGGATGACCATCACGTCTCTTGAAGTGAGGTTGCTGCTGTAAAGAGGGGCTGGACTGACTGCCCTCAGAAGTAATGACTCCTCCTGCACTGCACAACCAACAGCAGGGTGAGTTCTCCACCTCACCATTGTGGCTGACCTCTGTCTGGTACCTTGCCAGGAAAGAGGCCTCTTGCTATTCTTTGTTCTAATATGTCTACTAGGAGCTCAGTTAAGCTGCCACCTCATTATGCACACGCCAGCAACCGACCATCAGCTGGAAATGACTCTGACCTACTAATAACCTTTGCGGAACTTGAACAGGCAGCTTCCACACTGTCTCTCCAGAACCACTACTCACACTGAGGCTGTGCCTAATATCTATTTAGGCAGCATCTATAGCTCCTGGAACTGATGGTGAATTAGCTAGGCTTCATGCTCGACTTGCTATTGCAGTTGTGTATCAAAAGGCAAATGAATTTCTTGGTTAATTCTGTAAGCATCTTGAAATTAACTTCGGATTTAAATCTGCAAAGTTGACTCTGAACAGCTCATAAAAAGTATTTTCCATTATAGATGAAGCATATTTTGTCTCTGCGTTTATTTATTAAATACTTCTTGCAATGATATTGAATGTTCAACTTATTAAATCTCTTTATTACTCCTTCATGTGAGAACCAAAGACATTATTGCTTCCTCCTCACACCCTTCTTCATCTGTAAATTGCCATAACCCTTTAATAAGGTCTGAATATTTTTAAGCCCATCTTAATTATAAGGGAATAAAGATGCAGAGACATTAACCACTTGTCCAGAACCATTCAGTGAAGTCAAAGGGAATGGAACAGTCTTCCCTGTTAGACCATATTTTCTTCTCATGAACAGTTCATATATTTCTAATGTTTAATCTGTGTTTAACTAGACACTTTTTTTACTCTTCTGTGGGTGGAACCAAGTCAGCCAAAACGGTAAGCTGTTTCCCTCCCCAGAAAGGACAGCACTACCATTTTTTTCAGGCAAGTGTGGTTAGGAAGTTAAATGATGTCTCATCCTTACACACTTTCCATATTAAAGGTCTGGAGTCCAGCTCTTGTATCAAAAGCTTCCCTGTGTGCATGGTTTAAGGAATCTATGCAACAGTCTCCAGGTAACCACTGCATTTAAAATAGACAGAGCATACATCCTAACTTATGTGTTGCCAATGCTCTTCTAAATAAGAAAGTTTGGGTTTTTCTCCCTGTTCAGCCCGAAGTTTAGGATGGAGCTCCTAGGCTTAGGCTTCACTGGAGCTTTGTCACATGGCTTTTATGTAACTCTAGACAAATTTTCTAAACATCCTCATGCATGAGGTTCCTCACTAGATCACCTCACAGGGGTCATTTATAGGCACAGAAACTATGTAGGGCAAAGGCTGTCCTTTTTAGCCTGGCAGCCAGGATTACAGAATCCTTCAATCTCTGTCCCCCAGCACTTCTAATCCCATTGTTTTTAAATAAACTTGACAGAAAGGTTGAAGTGTCAAAGATAGCAAGTTTCAGATCAGACTGGCTATGTGGAGGACACAGACCATAATTAGTGCTCCTTCTGAGAAAAGGCCTTTATAATAAACTCAACCATTACCTGTTTTGTTTAGCTTGCCGTCTGGCCAACCAGCAAATAAGTAGCTTGGAATGGCCACATAATGTTTTCTCTTCTACAGCCTGTAATTAGGGGATATTCTGGCATTGTAGAGGACTTTAAGAGAAAGGAACAGAGTGCAGGATATCACCCTTTCTTAGCTCCATAGTTCAAGGAACACCTTGAATAACAGGTGCATGATCCAGACTAAGGGTTTGTCCATATTATTGCAAAAAATACTAATTAAAAATAAAAAAAGCTTAAGAATCTCTGTTGTCTTGCCACAACAGTTAAAACTCTGTAATAATGGTTTTCTTTGCAATACGTAGTATTTCCTGTCAAGTCCTGAGTCGAGGGATTAAGTCCAGACAGCTGATTTGGATTATATAATAAATGCATCTTTCTGTGTAATGAACATGGGATGCTAAGAGCCGTTCCATTTGGTTACCAAATGCATCCACAGTTTTTCATTCTGCATTTGTGCTCTGCTAGTAACGTACAGCAGAGATGAGACTGGGGTTGTGATCTGACTCTTAAAAAATCCCTGGAGCTCTGACAGCCAACACCATGCTCTAAATGCAGTGACATTTTTCACAGGAGAAAAAAATTAAGCACTGGGCTGTCATTCATCACTTTCTGACAAAGGTTTTTGAATTGGATACATTCTGCTTTGGATCAGTGATTGATTTATTTCCTATTGCAAAATGCTCCATTCCAGAGCTCTGTTTTGATTTCAGTGGGGAAAAAAAAAGTATGATTGTTGAAGGAAAATACTTTTTGTAATTCCAGAAAGGTTAATATACTGACTGGGGCAGCAGAAGGATGTGTAGGGTTGTTCAAAAAGCTTAATTATTTGATTACGCTACTTGATCTTGTTTTTTCCGAAGTGTCTTATCAAATTTAAGAATTGATAATTAGTGTGGTGCTTTGAAATCAGACATGTGGCTGGACCAATGGCAAACATACTGTGTCAGTATGGTGACTCTACATTGGTGAGTCACTTCTGCTGCAGCATGTTTGAATTTAGTCAGCCACTCTGATCCTGAAATGCTATCATGTGGCTAAATAGCTACCCTCTTTGTCCTTGACAGCAGCTTCCTTTGCAGCAGAAGTGACCCTCACCAAGATACAGTCATCATACTGATACTCCACATCTGACATTGATCTACAGCTCCTTTCTAGTTAAAAGCTTTTTATCACTCACATTTCACAAATGCAAAGGCTGAACAAAAAAAAAATGACCTACTGACTTCTGTCAGGTAGGGAAGGGGGTCCAGCCCCAAATGCTCTTGGGCAGAAATGCCAAGGCAGCATGTCCCTGTGCCCAAAATGCCATGGGGACAGTAAAACATGCTGCACCAAAAACTGCTGCCAGAGGGCAAGCAGTGCCCTACAGAGGGTAGGAAGAACAGTTTACCAAGAGAGAGCAGCTTGCAAGGCATCAGCTCTAAGGGGAAAATGGCCACTGCCTCTGCTCCCCTGAAATCATCTTCATCCTTTTGTCTTCCACAAGTAAACATTCGTAGCAGTAATGAGAGGGGTCCCAGGCATGAACTTGGCCTCCCATTTTCTGCTCACCTAATTAGGCACCCACAAACTGACGCTGTGCTGATGGCACTAGAAAAGTTGGACCATGTGGCCCTAAGGGATGCAAATGTCATTGTCAGAGCCAGGATTAAAATGCAGTTTCTCTGTGTTTCTTCTGTTCATACCACTCTATCAGTGACAATCGTTCCTCCTTTTCCCAGCCCTGCTCCCAGTAAGAGGACTGAATGTTGTGCCTGGCACTGCAAATTACCATTTTGGCTTCCTCCGCTGGAGTCACTTGGGGCTAAGGGAGGGGGGTGCGACTTATCCACCAGCACAGCAGGAGACGGGACACCAGCTACAGGAACATTGGGGATGTAGTATGGACCTGGCATGGAAGAGACTGCAGGAGGGTACCCAGCTTTTGCTGCCTTGCCTGCTACATACACTGAAAAAGAAAAAGAACAGCAGTCAGCATCACACCAGCCTCCCACAGACCCACATGGCACATGGCCGAAACCTGCACATCACCAACATTGGTGACAACCCAGCCGGAGACAACTGGACAAATGAAATGACAAGGACCAATGTGAATTTCTCTAAGCCTCAAAGGGCACTGAGGGGAGTTTAAACAATGCACACAGCAGATCAGATGAGCACTGCAAGATGCCCAGCAACTGAAGGACATTCAGCGTGTTACAGCCGGCATTACCGCTGCCATGATTTAGAGGCAGTTCATCTTTAAAAACAATTGATGACTCAAGTAGCAGGGATGAGGCTCATGAAACTTGACAGATCTCCCTGAGCCTAACCAGGAACCTTGCTAGGTTGCAAGGATTTTGCACTGCTGTAGAGGGCAGCTGCTTTGCATTGCCAGGAAGAAACCCCTCAGGATGCTCTTAGCTCTGACCCAGAACATTCACTGACATGACAACAACTTTGGAAGGGGAGTGTGACACTTTGGAAAAGCAGGCACAGCTGCTAAGGCAGGGAGGGCTCGGGGAATTACATTTGTAATTCACTTTGAGTGCTCAGCCATTGAGCAATAGGTCAGATGCTTCACCCCTAAGAACTAGTGCTTTAGTCAAGGAAAGTGCTCAGGGCAAAGGAAGCAATATTATCAGATTCTCCTCCTGTTCTGCCAGGGAGCGGAAAAAGTGCATGAGAAGATTTGCGCCAGGCTTGGACAGGGTCACTCACGCGCCCGGGGACAGCAGCAGGACTCGGGACAGCAGGGGCAGCGGACGTAACAGCAGCAGCTGTGTGGGCAACACTGGCACCAGCAGATTCCCACCAGCAGGAAGAACAGGAACGCCCCCAGGATCACCAGGCCCACAAAGACCCACTCTGAAAAACAATGGGAGAAAGAGAGATACTTACAGGATTGCAATCACTGTGGAAGGGAACGTCAGCAACATCCTCCCAGCGGAGAGCATAGGGGCAAAACAGACAGGTGAATAATAGAAGTGAACTCCCTGCAGGTCTAGGAATCCAGCCCCCTCTGTGTCAAAGCAGAAATGGCACATGACAGTGAGAAATGGAGCTACAGAAATGTGGTACCTTCTTGCTACATCTCTGGCTGGCTGAGCAGCAAGCAGCACAGAGGCAGGAGCTCTGGTTCCCCAGCACAGAAACCCTTCACCCCACAGCAGACCTGTACGAATGCCGCAGGACAAGCTCCATTAGCATTTGGATCTCATGAAAGACTCATTCTTCCCGGCCATGTTCATGCCCTGCTTGTGTGTTTGTTCCCTACCCACATTCTAGTTTTAATGGGACAAACGGTGGTGAAAAGCATGCTATAAATAGCCCAGTAAATGAGGCAGGCCTGCCCATTCGCAACTAGGCCCACGCATGCAATTATTCTTTTGAATGTGCCGAATGAACATCCTATTCAGGCGCTGCAGCCAGCCAGGAAAACTAACAACCACTTTTTTTTAAATTTTTTCCCCACTGAAGCCTCAGATGATGTCTGCCAGGCCCCGAAAGGGAGCAGCTGAAAAACAAGTGAAAGCACAGAAGAGCTGATCCACAAAAAACAGGATGGGATTTGAACGGGAAGGGGAGCGAGAAAAGGTTTCTCAAACTTTGCTGCTGGGAAATCTGCAGCGGCAGCAGCCGTGGTGGGAGCAGGTGCCCAGCCCATGCTGGGGCAGCTCTGTATCTGGCCACCCTGCACTTTGCAGAGGATTGTGTGCACAGGGCTGCACATACTGCCACATGGGAATTTGCTGGATTAAGGGAACGGTCAGTGAACACCTCCGAACCAAGAAATCTCAAGACTCTGAATGTATAGGAGGCCTGGAGTTGGTTTTACATCAGAGAGATGCACCAACCCATCTAGAAGTCAGACCACTGGTGGGGAAAGACTCCAGGTTTACCCAGGTGGTTATTCAACCACCTTTGAAAGATAGCAAGAAAGCAAAGAAAGAAGTGGTGGGACTGCTTTGCAGTGGGGCAGGGTTTACCCCCAGCCCAGAGAAAAAAAAGCAGCAGACAACTGTTTCTGAACAGAAGTCCAGCGTTCACTGAAGGGTCTCCTGGTACATTATTATTTAAAATGAAGAAGTAGTGATACAAGGATTTCAATGTGAGTACAGAACCACACTGGAAAAATAGCGCACCTCTGACCTGCGTCGCTAAGCTGAAAAGTCAAGGAAAAATGTTCTACTTGGAACAATCAAAACAAGTTTTTTCTACTTCTTCATAAAATACAAAAATAAGAAGTGTCATTTTTGATTCATCCACAGCATTCTGTTTGAACAAAAGTAAAAGTCTTTGCTTTGTTGGAGTTTTCCTTAACTCTTTTACAAACAATTCCCTTTTTTAAATTCCATTTTTAATCTAGAACTTAAAATTTCCTCTAAAAAATGTCAGTGAAAGATCTGGCATTTACAAACCAAAACACTTCATTTCAGAAGTGTCAAGTGAAATGGTTTATATTTTTTGAATATTTTCTTTCTTTTTTGGCTGAAACAGATGAATTTCATTTAAATTTGCAGGTAATTTTGGTCCTTGTGGAATAATTTTTTTTTTGTGACGTTACTATATGCTGAGAAAAATTCAGCTAATGAATAAGGAAATGGCTGGAGGGAAACATTCATGAATGGAAAAGTAAGAGTTGAGAGAAGATTGATACAGTTCCTCAAGTGCTGGTTCTAGAAGCTATCTTATTGAATATTTTCATGAATGACCTTGACTCAGAAAATAAGAGTGTGTTAATGTATCTTGAGGGTAAGAGGTAGGGAAGCATTGTAACTAAAGGTGAAGACTAGGATATGTTATAGAAAGGGCCAGTTGTCCTCAGGCCTGCAATAAGAAACATGAAATGCAGCAATATAATGAATTTCAAGGTATGCAGCAATACTTTCAAGGTCACATGTTCAAAGATTAAGAACAATTTCTGTTCTGAAGAGGACTTCATTAGTTGGAAACAACTGAAAAACAAGAGAGATGATCCGGTATACTATTTCATCATAGGACAACTGTAACCACTTATGCAATACAGCCACAAAAATGGCAAATGTAATCCTATGCCCAACAGAGGAGGAATTTCCAGTAGCATTAAGGAAATATTAATGCCATCGTACAACGCCTCCATGTAACTTCATCTGACATTACTGATGTTATACAACTCTGGTCATCTTCGTACAAGAAAAGATGAATTCAGGTTGGAGCTGATGCAAAGCAGGGATTTGAGGGGATGAAGGGACTCGATAGCTTGCCTTGCAGCAGGAGAGCTGAAGCTTGCTGCATTAGTCTATTAAAAAGAAGGCTGAGAGCAGATGTAGCTGCCTGTAAATATGCTAGGAGGATGAATGCTAGGAGGAAAAGTAGGTATTATAGTTAAAGGTCTTACATGAATGGGCATAAACAGGCTATGAGTAACAAAGATGGAAGCTAGAAGCAGCACATCAAAGAAAGCGATCCAATGGGAGAGAGAAAGGCCAAACCCAGACTACTCTTAAGCTTGTTAAGCTTATGAAAAGGACGAAATTACATGGCGCTTGGGATAGAAAGCAAGACAGCGAGCCAGACTATCCTTTCCAGTCCTGTGCTTCCTAATCGATGCCAATCCGAGCAAGCCAACAGCTCAGTGGCTTTTTCTTTTGTCATGTTCACATCTTGTTCTTTACAACCATCACTGATACAGAGAAGGTGGTAAAATAGTATTGCATGACAGAAGTGGCCAGCCACAGCTATGCAATGAAGCTCAGATGTCAGATCTCCAGAGCTATTAGTGAACAGTTCACATCACTCCATAAAGGATAAAAGCCTGGTAGAGGAAAAAACCAAACAGCAAGCCCATTGTAAGTGTATCTGTGGTCTACCTGAAAATGTTCTAGGAGTACAAAAGGGGGTCAGGTTAGTACGTACATTGCACATTGCAAGATACTCAGCAGCAGGAGTGGATGTTCAAAATCAGTGTCCCAGTGACAGGGACCTATGAATCAGGAAGGATTTTATTTTACAGGAAGTTAGACCATTTTTTTCTCTGATGAGGTTAAGAAAACAGCAAAAGAGCCTGCTGGCTCCTCCTTTATGCACAAAACTGGGTTTCAACCAGTTCCAGATACAACTGTGTAACCCTGAGATTCAAATGACTACCAAGTGAAATGCTGTGTGCCCTCACTCCCTGGAAACTACTGTATTCTGCTTGCAGGAGTATCTGCTTTTGTTTATTCAGGTAATAGGCAATGCTAACAGCTGAAATGTGGTTTGCTGCTGCCTTTTACACTTTCTCATTGTTTATACCCATGCAGTGAGGGTACCAGAAAGCTACCTGGCCAGCACACAAGAAATATATGCCCATTCAATAAAATTGTAAATAGCAGGGGAAAAAAAGCGTTCGGCAACAGAGAATCAACTTCTGTCTATGCTGAAAAGACCAAGCCCTCTCCTGCCATGCTGAACTTCCAGGGACCTTTGGGTTACACTGGAGGTGGGGGAGTGTCTGCCTTCTCTCCGTTTGCATCTCTGGGACAGACTTGAAAATAGCTTCACACATTTATGTGGAGTTGCATTTTTGCACAAACGTGTGAAAGAAACACTCCTTGGGCACCATCAGGGGATGATCAGATGACTCAAGGGCTAAATGTTCGCACAGCTTTTCCCTTTCAAGGACAATATGATGCACAGTCTGTTTCCTCTGCAAGGAGTGCCAGAACTGGTGGCTCTCATTAGTTTGGCTAGCAAGGGATTTATCATGGGCACAGAGCTTTCATGTCTGGTCCAACCAGCTGGTGTTACCTAGATAATGCCCTGACCATGCAGCACAAGAGGGGCTGTGCCACTGATGGGTTACTAACCAGTGCTCTATTTCTAGCACCTCCTGTGCTACCATCTGTGGTGATGGCTGTAATGGTACCCGCAGGATAGGATCTGGGGCGCGGAAGTTACTACTGCACAAGAGCAGCTGACGTACAAAGCCATATGGGCACACGAGGCTGCTGAGGTCTCGCAGGCTGGAGTGGCGTGACCTTTGTGCTAGCAGGGGGAGAGCAGAGAGCTTGATATAAAACCTCCCCTGAACAGAGCTGGCATTTCTGCTCTCACACTGATCCTGGCATGACATCAACCATCTCTGTATGTTGGCTCCCAGCATGGCCATTCCTCCCCCAAGTCCCAGCATCAGCTCTCTCAGATCTCATCCCAACACACTTTCCCAGTAAGCGACAGGCTTTTCTCTTTTTATCCCCAGGTAAAACACACATAAGAGTGAAACGTACACCACATAAAGATGCTGCAAAAGGATAAACAGACAAGATGACAGAGGACTGGGTGATTGAAGGGTGAAATGACTGAATACCTGGCATAATCTCCACAGCAAAACTGGGCAAGAGATCAGCAAGCAGCCCTGTCCTGCCTAGAAAAGACAGAAGGAGGAGAACAAGGAGAGAGGTTACTGCAAGAAAAACACACTCCCCAGCCCCTGCCTTAGCCTCCAGTCCCCTTCCTCATCAGACCACTTGCACTCTGTTAACGGAATTCCTATCAACCACAGATGTCATCCTGCTTGATGCCTGGTGTCTACCTCTGCACTTTTGCCATTTCTGTGTCCTTGCATTTTATCTTTATCAGCAGACCTGGGAGGAAAGAATCTGAAATAGAGCTTCTCCAATCTAGGCACGAAATGACAAGGAGAGGGAGGTCCCCCTAGCATGGTTACACAGTAACATCTTTCTGGAATTATGCTCTATACATGCAAAAACCTCCTGGAAATGCACAACAGCCCTCAAATAGAAGGATTTAGTTTACTTTAAAAGAAACCCAGGCCCTTGACAAGTCAGCCACATGCATCCAACATCCATAGGTAGTGCTTTCCATGTGGGGCCCTGCAACTGCAGAGACAGGCCCAGGAAAGGAGTCTTGAAGCATGACTGTGAGCACGTGCTACTTAATTCAAGATTTGCAAGCAACTTAGTCAGATTGGGTGATTCAAGGCTAACTCTCAAGCGAAGCAAACCAACCAGGGAACAATTTGTGTAGAAATTTGTAGAATCACTTTGCAAAAGGAAAAGAAAAAAAAAAAGGCAAGTCAACTTCTAATTTATAACTGAATACGAACAAAATCCAAGCTGAAAGGCAGCCTGATGCCTATTTGTTTTGGCACTGAATGTCTGGGATATTTCTAATACACAGCAAACATCCTTCACAGTGTTCGGCTATAATTTACACACACCTGTGCATCAGCAGAACAGCCCTATGGGCAGCTGTGCTACGTACTCTTTTATATAGCACCAGGATCATGCTAGGTTTTTTGAAAACATGCATAAGGTAGGAGAGCTGCACTCTGAAGAGAGACATACATTGTGGATGTAACGTAACAGAAGCAGCTAAGGGTAAGCCAGTGCAAAAGTGGTAGAAAGCTACCTTTAACCTCCCCACATGCCCTTCAGGTCCTGCACTAAGCAACACTCAGACACAATGATGAACTGGATCCCAAGTTCCTCGGATTCTAGCCTGTCCTTGAAGCATGTTGTAATCAAATTCCCACTGTCCGTTTTTTCTGAGTGCTTCAGCAGAGGTTCTGTAGAGATCAAAAATCCACAAGGATGCCTGCTGGAGCCATAACAAACATACTCTGAATGCAGGCAGTGCTTTGCAACCAGTTGCAACTCATCAAAGCTGTCCAGTACTCACAGTAACGCCATCATGATGAGGTGCTCCTGAAGCCTTGGCAAAAGATACAATGCTGATCCTTCAGATAATTCACTACTTTGAAGGAGGACTCTTGCCATCAGTCTACTGCAACATTTTCAACTACATATACAAAGAGCTTCATGACATGCTTTGCAGTCCATTTTCTGGAAGGATCAAGTGTCCAAACTGCTCACAGCTAGCTTATTATGGGAAAGTGCTCATGTATGCTTTCTGCTGACATGACACAGGCATATATGCAACGTATGCATGGCTTAAGTCTTGGGTGCCACAAGTGGGCTCGAAACGCATGCAACAAATATATGCCTTGTGACACAGTATGAAAGATTTACATTACGTTCCATGTGCATATTAAATATATTCCTTATCTTCCCAGCACACACAAAAAAACATGCAATTCTTGCATAGGCCTCTGTGTGTCTGTATGTGAACAATGTACATGTGAACCACATGCACGCAGAACATACGGGCAGACACGGGCATGCAGCTTGCCTCCCATGTGCATTACCTCTGCACAAGTTCACATGCAGCCCTGGTCTGAGAGCAGACGCCAATGGACAAATAGCTGGAGGTATACAGCTAATTTAGGGCTGGGATTTGTGGCACCAGAGGTAAGGGAGTGACACCTATAAAGAGCAGAAGCTCCATCTCATGAGTCCAAATAGGCACCTGCTTTATTTTGAACCTACCTGAACAGCCTCAACCCCTGCTAGTGCTGGATCTTATGGCGCCTCCTGATCCCCAGGAGGAACCACACATTCAAAGGGGAAGAAGCATCCCTCAAAAATAACAGTGCTTGAGAGCTTGGAAACTTGTCACAGAGGAAACCAAGGTAATTCCTCTGTGCTACCAACGAGCAGTCGAGTATTTCCCTGCTTGTGCAGCCTCACTCGGCTCTGCTGAGTATCTGCCTGGGGAATTTGCTCCCCCTGCCCGGCCAGTGGGGAGCACAGCCCTGGGGGCCCCAGAGCCACCAGCGGGGGATGCACAAAGCCTGGGAGGGCCCGAGGCAGCAGCGAACCCCAGCACGGCTCAGCCTGAACTCTGCCGTCTTGACTAGCCTAGCTGACAGCCAGCAAGCACAAAGCCCGCCTCCGGACTGCTGTGCCCCCAGCAGCTTTCAATGCACCACAGCTCTCCTCCCTCCCTGTCCTTGGCTGAATTAATTCACAGAGAACCCTTCCCTACACCCTGCGCTTCCCCCTTAGCGGGGGAAGCCAACGGGGGGGGGGGGGGCGGGCGGGGG